CTTCTTTAGGGTATATACTTAGTAATGGAATGGCTCGGTCAAATGGCATTTCTAATTCCAACTTTTGAAGGAATCGCCATACTGCTTTCCACAATGGTTGTACCGTTTTACAGTCCCACCAGCAGTGTATGAGAGTCCCAATTACTCCACAACCTCGTCAGCATTTGTTATTTTCTGTCTTGTTGAACTTTGCTACCAGTGCTAGAGCAACATTGTACCTCATGGTTGTTTTGATTTGCATCTCTCTAATAGCTAATGCTCGTGAGCATTTCTTCATATGTTTGTTGGCCACTTGAATATCCTCCTTGGTGAAGTGTCTATTCATGTCTTCTGCCCATTTTTTAATTGGATTGTTTACCTTTTTGTTATTGAGGTGTTGGGAGTTTTCTATAAATTCTAGAAATAAGTCCCTTGTCAGATATGTTATTACCAAATATTTTTTCCCAATCTGTAGGTTCTCTTTTTACCCTTTCAGAGAAGTCTTTGGAAGCACATAAAAATTTAATTTTTAGAAGGTCCCAATCATCTGGTTTCTCTTCTGCTGTTTGTACTTTTGAATTATGCTTAATAGTCTATTTATGCCATATATTAGGGCCCCTAAATTTGCCCCTAGATTTTCCTTGAGGAGCTGTATAGTTTTAGGTGTCACATTTAAGTCTTTGATCCATCTGGAGTTCGTTTTTGTGTGTGGTGTGAGGTACAGATCTTGTTGTCATTTTTCTGCAAATGGATCTCCAGTTTTGCCAGCACCATTTATTAAACAAACATTCTCTTCCCCATTTAATGGATTTTGGGCCTTTGTCAAAGATCAGCTGAGTATAGGTGGATGGATCTATTTCTGGGTTCTCAATTCTGTTCCATTGGTCTATGTATCTGTCATTAAACCAAAACCAGGCAGTTTTGACTACTGTGGCTGTATAGTAGGTTTTGAGATTCAGCAGTGTGAGACCTCCTACTTTGTTTTTCTTCTTCAGTAGTGCTTTGCTTATCCGAGCTCTCTTTCCTTTCCATATAAAGTTATTGATTGGTTTTTCCATATCCCTAAAGAATAGTGATGGGATCTGGATTGGTATTGCATTGAATGTACAGATTGCTTTGGGTAGAACTGACATTTTCACAATGTTCAATATTCCTATCCACGAGCATGGGATGTTCTTCCATTTATGTAGATCTTATGGTTTCTTGAAGTAGTTTTTTAGTTTTCTTTGTAGAGGTATTTTGTGTCCCTGGTAAGATTTATTCCCAAGTATTTTATTTTTTTGGTAGCTATTGAAAATGGTATTGATTTCCTTATTTCTTTTTCAGCAATCTCTTTGCTGGTGTGGAGGAATCCAACTGATTTTTGGATGTTGATCTTATATCCTGCCACGATGCTAAATCTCTCAATTAGTTCCAGTAGAATTTTGACTGAGTCTCTTGGGTTTTCTAGGTATAGGATCATATCATCAGCAAATAGGGATAGTTTGACTTCTTCCTTACCAATTTGGATGCCTTTGATTTCCCTTTCTTGCCTTATTGGCCTGGCTAGGACTTCCAGTACAATGTTGAATAGAAGTGGTGATAGTGGGCATCCTTGCCTGGTTCCTGTTCTCAAGAGGAATGGTTTCAAAAAATATGGAACACTTCACGAATTTGTGTGTCATCCTTGCGCAGGGGCCATGCTAATCTTCTCTGTATTGTCCCAATTTTAGTATATGTGCTGCTGAAGTGAGCACCCACTTGGAATTTTTGAAGTTACGTCTGCTTTTAATTTCATCTTGAAAGTAAACCTCTTCTCACTAGGACTTTTAACACTCGCTGCTCTTGTCGTTATCAAACATACTAAGATTAATAATGATCACAAATGTCTCAAAAATCTTATGCAAACACAGCAAACAAGTCAAAGATGAGTAAGCAAATCAAGGACAAGTGGCAGTGCACAACTCCTGTCCCTGTGATTGGTTGCAGGCAGAGTTTTGTTCACAATATGAAAGTTTATAAATACTGAAGCTTCTGTGTTGGCCAAAAAAAAAATAAAACAAGCAAACAGAACACCTGCCTTCTGGATGATGATAGCCTTTTGTACCTTGGTAACTGTTTTAACCGAAGCTGTGCATCACCTGCAGATCCTTTCTTTTCCCCAAAACAAGTCCCTTCATTCCTTGGGGAATGTATGTACAGCTTTAAGGAGGAAATATTTTGAGGAGGGATCTTGCCTGATGAACTAGTGCCAAATCAGTGTGGGGGCTGCATGTGGATTTTCAGTAGAAGATTTGTTTTTCTGTTTGTTTTAACTAGGCGACTTTCGGATGGTGGTTGGAGAGGATAAGAAAAAGGTGTTGAATATTGTGAAGCCCAACGTGGTTCACTTCCGTGGGCTCTATGGCAGCATACTACAGGAGAATCCCCAAGTGGTCTATAAAACACATCAAGGCAGACTAGAGGTAAACTGTATATGGAAAATAATTTACATTGTTTCTAAAGCAAGAGCTATTTTAAGGAAAAAAAAGTAAGGGGGAGAAATGTGTAAGTAATGTGGTAACATATATATATAAAAGTGAGTGTTGTACAGAAGCATATATGCTTCCATATACTTGAATAATGCTAAAAGGTAACACAAGAAACAAGTAATAAGGGGCTGCCTTTGGGGAAGGGAACCAGGGCAGAAGTAGGAGGGAGATTTGTTTTCACTGATCAAAAATGGGTGAAAATAAACCCTCAGATTACCTTCTTTCCAGCCCTGGCTGTTTTATTGGCTATTGTAAATGTCAGTATCTAACATTTCTTCAGAGAGACAGCTACTCCTTAGATAGAGAATAGGGAAAAAGAATATATCTAGGTGCCAACTGCTAAGAAATTGAAGAAGGGCAAGGGCGGGGAAATTCACTTAACCATGCAAATGTATTTACCCAAACTCTTCACCGTGGCCTACTAAAGCCTACATGATCTGGATTCTAATTGGTTTCTTTTCCTGAGAAAATTTACAAGAACAAGATTAGCGGATTGAACTACAGTCCCCAACGTTGCAGCTGGTCTTGAGGCTGTAACTGATACTTGTCATCTCCTTCCTCTACTACTCATTCTATATTTCCCTTACCCTTAGCCCGTACTTCTGCTGGCCTAGGTGAAATGGCCTTATCCTCATCTCTGAGGCGTCTCAGACCCTGTTCACCACATTTGTCTTGTGTTGTGGCTACTGCGTTTCCATTAACCAGAGAACTAGGGTAAGAGGATAGTACTAAGAGCAGCCCTACTTCCTGATGACCAGAGTCAATTACTCCTGCCAGTATGGTGACTCATTTTTTTGTTTGCTGCAGTCTTGGCATGGGAAAGTGAATGGGTGGCAGATGTAACTTAAAGCTTACTGGGATGCTTACTCTACCTCTGGTAGAATCATTACTCCTCTGCAGACTGGGACCTAAAGTTGCAGGGATGGGAAGTACACATTTTCCTAGTGGGTCACTGGAAGTAACAGGAAGCAAGGCCACTTCCCTTTCCACTCCTTGGTTCCCAGACCCATGCGTTCTATAGTCTGGGAACCCAGCACCATATATGGGTCATTAATTTAGCACATATCCTGCATCCTTGAAGATGACACCTCATCCTCACAGGGCATCATCTCCAAGCTCATGCCTCAGCTGTTCCTCCATTGCTCTGTTACAGTTTCTCAACAGGAGCACTACTGACATTTTAGACCACATCATTCTTTGTTGATGACTGTCCTGTACATTGTAGACTGTCCCTAACCCATTAGATACCACTAACACTCCCCCAAGCCCACTTGTAACAATCAAAAATGTCTTCAAACATTGCCAGGTATCCCGTGCGGGACAAAAATCACCCCCGCTTTGAGCACCACTGCTCTCCAGGCTGGTGGTTTTGGTGCAGTGTGTGGTAGAAACAGTGGAGCTGGAGTCCTGTGCCCCTTGCTACACCTCTTTATTTTAATCTGGGTCCCCTAAGTGAAGAATGCAGTGCACCATGTTGATGAGTCAAACCTTCTATAAAGCCTTAAACAATGGTGCTGGCTATCCTGAGGGTAGGAAAGGCAAACCCTGCTCAGAATACATGTCACTTCCACTTAAGACAAATTGCTACTCCTTCCCAGATGGCATTCACAAGTAAACTCAAGACATTTTTGAGGGACACAATTCAATTCCAAAACCAGTTATAAGGGAGCTTCCTTGTAGGCATTGGCCTGAGCCGACAGGGAGGCGCTGGAGCAGCAACGTGGATATTGTGGGGTCTAGACTTCCTGCTTGTGTAGCTCATGTGTGCCCTCCAGCCTTGCTCACGTCCGATCCTGATGTGCCTCTTGCATCTCACAGTGGATTGCTAGCCCCTGCACCCTCTATTATAAGGCATTCAAAGGAAACGGGACTATTTGGACATTCTGTATAATATATTAGTCTACTGTATCAGTTATGCCCAACATTATGACTTAGTGAATCTGACACATCCCCACTTGTGATGGCAGTTCTGGCTGCATGCTCATTTGTTGTCCCATGATCGGCAGCCAGCAGCTCTGTCTCCACTAGGGCCCAGTATCCAGGAGGCAATTTTCAAATAGTGTGTTGCTTTTCTACTGCAGATGGCCAAACCCTAGCTCCACATTGTCATTCTCACTGAGGGCCCACTATAAAATCCACATAACTGCTTTTAATTCTACATATTCCTCCCTTAGTACCATGGAGCCTACAAGATAGTATGGTGTAAGTGCAAGGCTGCTTATACAGTGCCTGGCTCTGTTGCAGAGCTCTTTTCTGCTCTGGGTAGGCCCCTTGCAAAGCTGGAATCCTATCATATCACTTGGTAAATGAATCTGAGCATTATTACCCTTTGTGGAATATGCAGCCTCTAGAACCTAAAGAGGCCTATCAGGCCTTGTGCTTCTTTCTTAGTGGTGAGAGGCATGAATTGCAATAATTTAACCTTTGCTTTAGAGGGATATCCTGGCCTACTCCAGACCACTCAGGCCCTGAAAACTTCACTGGTGGGCTCTTGGAACTTCATAGGGCTTATCTACTTTCTGGAGTGCAGGTGTCATATCAAGGCCTCCAGTGTACTTGCTCTTATTGTATTACCAGATAACAATATGTCATTGATAGAGTGGACCAATGTGTTATCGTACAGAATGTCCAAAAAGTCCAGGTATAGCAGAGGATGCAAAGAAGCAAAACCAGAAAGTGTAAGATTGTTTGTCCCATAATAACATGAGCTCTTCTGGTCCTCCTTCCTAATAGGGAAGGAAAGGACACATTCACCTGGTCTAGCACCCTATTCATATATCTGCTGTAACATAGTCACTGCATCTGGCACAGCAAGCAGATACAGTTGAGGCTACTACTAGGATGAGTTTGAGGTAGTCCACTATAATCTTCCAGGATCCATTTGGCTTTTGTAGTAAGGGCCAGACTGATTAATTTAACGCAGATGTGGGCCCATCATCCTTCAGGTCTACAGGTCACACTAATCTTTGCCATTCCTCCCAGGGTACCGTTTCATTTTTTATTTATTCTCCTGGCCAGAGGGTGAGGGTCGGAGCTTCAGAGGCCTGCACTTGGCCTCACATGCTATGACAGGTCCCAAATCCTATCTTAGAGTCAGCTTTCTAGGACTACTCCTGGAATCAATTGTGTAAGATTGGGGTTGGACAGATTTGAAACAGAGGCCTCACCGGATCCTATGATGGCATTCTGGAGCTAGATGGCACTTCAGGTTGTCCCCACTTGGGACAGAGGCCAAGCTCTGTCATTGCATACAGGTAGCTCCTTTTGGCTGAGGCCAGTTATAGGAGGGGCTCAGCCAACTTTCCCAGCAGCTAGTAAAATGAGCGCTTTGGTCTTGAAGGCAGGATCTGGATGGTGTACCACGGCATCCCCTATCGTATGACCATGTCTGCATGTTTTATATCAGCTTTATGAGATATAACTCACATACATTAAAATTCACCCTTTTAAAGTATACAATTCAGTGGCTTTTAGCATAGTCAAAAAGTTATACAACCATCACCACAATCTAATTTTAGAACATTTCCTTCCTCCAAACAAGAAACCTTGTACCCATTACCAATCACTCCCCAGCTGTCCCTTAATCTATGTTCTGTCTCTATGGATTTACCTTTTCTGGACATTTCATATAAATGGAATCATACATGTGACCTTTTCCATATCTGCTTTTAAAATATAATTAATTAGACTCTAGTGATTTAACTGAATGATGGTATCTTCATGATTTAAGGATTAAAGAAAATTAGAATTTACTATGGGGAGGAAGTGGGAGAGGTGCTGTTGCATTATGGGAAATTGCAGTCAATGTCATGAGACAAAGTGTATGTGAACTGCTGTATGGAAAATGAATTTGCTCTGTAAACTTTTACCCAAATCACAATAAAAATTTTAAGAAGAAAAATTAGAATTTAAGTAATTCATTTGAACATGTCACCTAATATTTTGTCTTCAGATGCATACTTCCAACTCAAAATTGTAAAACATTTCTTCAAAAGAAAACAATGGCAAATATTTTCTAATTCCTCATATTACTAAGTCTTTTTAACACCTCTAAACTTTCTATAAGTTTCATAGGTAACACATGTATAAAATATAAGATCCTTTTGACTAATCTCAATTTAAAAAACCAAACTCATTGCCATCAAATTGATCCCAACTCATAGCAACCCTGTAAGACAGAGTAGAACTGCCCCCATCAGGTTTCCAAGGCTATAAATCTTGATGGAAGTAAACTGCCATCTTTCTCCTGTGGAGTGGCTGATGAGTTCAAACCGCTGACCATTTGGTTAGCAGCCAAGCACTTAACCACTGTCCACCAGGCCTCCTGGCAGATCTTAATATTTGGCCCCAAAATATGAGTTCGTAAATGTCATCTCTAGGCTATTTACAGACATAGCCACAGTTATCTTTGTCATTTATATAGCCAAAGCCAAGTCGAGGGTGGAGCCTGTGTATTTGGAACCATCCTAATGACAAGCACTGGGAGCTCTGGTAGCATAGTGTCTAAGGCATTTGACTGCTAACCAGAAGGCTGGTGGTTCAAACCCACCAGCCACTCCCCGGAAGGAAGATGGGGCAATCTACTTCCGTAGTGATACTGACTCGGAAACCCAAGGAGGGGTTGCTATGAGTCGGGTCCGACTCGATGGCACATAACAACAACAACAACAATGACAAGCACTAAATGCCCAGGTAAAAAACGTCCTTCTACCTTCAGAACCACTAAATAATAGCATTTTCTTGTTCTTTGCATAGATTTTAATAGAGCTAGAGATCTGGACAGTGGCAGTATACTCAGTAAAAACTTGTTGAATGAAAAACAGTGGCAGAATAAGTGAATTCTAATTAAGAAAGTTGGTTATGTTTGGAAAACTGAATCAAAATGTAATATGTTCATTTGTCTAATTCTTACTATTAGCGAGAGTGAAAAGCTAAATATTTGTTGAAAGAACATAAGACAAAAATATTATTTGGAAAATAATGTGATGAGCTGTTGAGTGTAGCATTACTCATTCTCAACTCAGCACACAGTCAATGTTTACAAAATTTCTCAAAGGCTTAGGCTTCAGCTCTACAGCTGACTTTTCATTCACAGGTTTCCAAGTAAAGACCAATGCATATTTTTATATATGCTTTATTTCTGAATTTATGTTTCACTTTGATGAATTTTAGAATATTTTGGGAAAAGGAACCACCATTGCAGCTTACTCCTGTTTAATAAATAATGACAATTAAGTTTTATCAATTTAGATATTCATTCCCTTATTCAATCCTCCCATGATCAGGGGATTAAAAAGTGAGTAAGAGCTGTTTGTCTTTGTCATCAGTTTATCCCTACAGTTTATGGCATGCAGCATGGTATGTAAAAGGCCCCAAAGGCAGGAGATACAAATTCAAATGCTTCTCTATCACATTGACTCTGATCCTGGCCAGGTTACTCAGTTTCTCCATCTTTAAAATGGGAGGGATAATTTGAGTGCCTGGATTTGATGGAGCTCTACTGGCACAGTATGTGAAGTATTTGACTGCTAACCAGAAGGATGACAGTTCAAACCTACCAACTGCTCTTTGCAGGAGAAAGATGAGGCAATCAACTTCTGTAAAGATTTACAGCTTTGGAAGCCCAGTGGGGTCGCTATGAGTCAGAATTGACTTAATGGCAGTAGATTTGCTTTTGGGTTTGGATTCAATGGGGTCTTTTGATGGTTTTACATGTTAACTGCAGCCCTACTTCCTGTAATTGCTAGATTTAAGATAGAGATCTAAAATTACATAAATTGATCTTTGAAAGAGGCTTCTGGTCTTTTCTCATGTAGAAATGGAACATTATAGAAAAATAGTTGTCTTTTTTTTGAAAGGGGTGAGAATCCCAAACCCCCCTTATGCATTATTCAGCTTCAGAAAGGAGAGTCTCCTTAGCAGGCTGCGGAATCCAAGGTGTGGGGACATCTGTTTTTATGTGATCTTAAGGAAAAGCCATTGTGTCTGAGTAGTTACAGAATTCAAAGCACTTTCCATAGACATCATCTTTTTTTTTTTTTCCCCCTCCAGCTAGATAAAAGCCCAGAAGGACAATTTACTCAGCTAATGGCATTACCCAAAACCTTACAGCGACAAATAAATCATATTATGGACCCTCCAGGAAAAAACAGGGATGTGGAAGAAACTCTATTCCAACTTGCTAATGACCCTGACTGTGCAGAGGTGGTGCGTCTAGGTATGTGTATGAATTTACTGGCCGTGGGTAAAAGGAAGCTTTGGGATTGGGACCTGTGTTTATTCTTTCTTGCTTCACATGATCAAGAGATTTCCTCTAAGAAGAAAGCATTAACAATCCAGGGTTTTTCCAAATGTAAATTTTCACTTGTTTGAAGTAGAGTGGTAGAAGTACTACTTTTAGAAATATTTTAGATCCTAAATCACTGTCAAAAGAGGAAACAATGTTTCTTTTGGTTCCAAGAGCATAACTTCTAGAAGTTACTTAAAAGACATATCTGTGTTCTTCATGGTGGTCTGAGAATGAAGGAGACTGGTGACACTTTTAATGTTTTCATAACATTGAGAACACAGTTTTCATCCACCAATGCCAACCTGATGTGTCTCATGCTGCATTCAGCTGGTGCCTTCTGACATGGCCCATGTTCCACAGCCTTATCCCTAGGGCCTCCCTAATGTTTATCAAAAAGTCTGAACCTTCTCTTCAGAGACCTGTTTTCTTTTTAGAGGTTAAAGGTGATTTATGAGGTCAGTCTGTAAAGACATAATTATGAAATTGGAGATGACTCCCTCCCTCGGATGAGTACATTCTCCTGTTTTTATCCAGTAAATGTTTACTGTGCTCCTTCAGGGCACAAGCCACTGGGCCAGATGCAATTACAGTAATGATATTGAACAGTAAACCACATCTAACCATCAGCTACAGTATGCAGGCACCTCTCTCTCCATCTCATGGAACAGCTCCACATTTTCAGAACAAATACTCAGGTAACCAGGTGCCTATTCTGAAGGTCAATCTGTGCGAGCCATACTGGTTTGTTTTAGTTTTAACATGCTCCTTTAAAAAGCATAATGTCTGCTGCTTTTTTGAGGGCATGAAAGACTTGTCTCTCCTCGCTGAGGAATCCTGCATGTATGTCTTTGGGATGAAAGTTTTTCTCAGAGACAGAAACATGTTTTTTATTTGTTTACATCTTAGAATGGAGAACCAGCAGCCTTGAACAGTCTTAAAGTCATAAATTGGCCTTGGAGGGTGACCTACCCCCCCCCACCCTAGGTTTTCCAGGTGAGGAGGCCTACAGTGCTTGATCAGGAGCTGTGCATCTCCAGTCTTCTGTCAATTCTGGTGCCCTTGGCACTGTCACTTTGCGACACCAGGACAATGATGGATTTGCCAGCTTTACTGGATAGCTGGAAAGAACATCTAGTTTTGGGTTTAACATGGATGACTAATATCTTGTTCTGGATGTTCTTTTTGTTTTCTTCTCACAGGCATCTCAGCAATTGTGAGACCCTCCAGTGTGAGACAGAGCACCAAGGGCATTTTTACTGCTGGTAAGAACTTGAGAAAGTCCATGGTTAATGAACCTGTTGATTATAGTGGCTTCGACTTGCCTGGTTAAAATGTAAAACTTTATCTGTATCCTCTAAGGAATTGTGAAATGCTGTATTTTGATGGTCATGAACTGCCATTTGGTGTCTGGAAAACTCAAACCCTTTGAGGAACTGTACTCAGAAGGCTTTGTTGTTGTTGTTGTTAGTTGCCATTGAATGGATTCCTACTCACGGCAACCCCATGGGTGCAGAGTAGAATTGCTCCATAGGGTTTTTGTTCTGGCGTGGCAGGCCTTTTTCTGAGGTGCATCTGGGTGGTTTTGAACTGCCAACCTTTCAGTTCATAGTCAAGCACTTAATCATTTGTGCCATTGACAAACTTCATTGGAAGGCTTTACAACAGCTCTAAAAATTCTGAATACATCCTTACAGCCAGGGTTTTTCCTCATATTTTTTATCCGTTCACGTAGCAAAAACAACAGCATCTTAGTCTCCTTCCCCTTTTTCTGCCTCTTCAGAGACAACAGTTTCCAGCTCTCTTGGTTGATTGTTTTAATCTTTAACTGCCATTTTTCTAAACAATAAATTCATGTCACCACTTCCCTGTTTTTCTGTGTTAGATATTATCTATTGACTTCTTCCTAAGAAGGTTAGAATTCCACTCTCTTCACCCACCCTCACTGTACATACTCACCCCACCCTCCGTCCCTCTATATTATCCTGTAATGTAGTTGTCTACTCAATACATACAACTATATTCAGTAAAACCTGTGAAAGCCAGAACCCGTGTAAGGTGGAAACCCATCAGAAAAGGAAAACTCAAATATTTTTCACTAAAACAAGCAATGGGAAAGTGGTAAGACTATACCCTACCAAAGGCAGAAGACTTGTGAGACCCAAAAATAAACAAGTCAAGTTCCATCTCTCACAGGTTTCATTGTCATATTTTAATTTTGGTTAACTCGGTGTTCAGTATTAACATATAATTATCCTAATGTGATTCATTGAGGCAGTGGGGTGGTTCAGCGGTAGAATTTGCTTCCCGTGCAGGAGACTCCAGTTCTTTTCCCAGCCGGTGGGCCTCATGTGCAGCCACCACCATCTGCCAGAGCTTCTGGACTAAGGAAAACTCGGTAGAAAGGCCTGGCAGTGTACTTCTGAAAATCACCCAGTAGATCACAATGCACACAGCAGATCATAGGGCTGGTTCAGGACTGGACAGTGTTTAGTTTCATTGTGCATGCAGTTGCCTTGAGTTGAGCTGACTAGACGACAGCTAACAAGAACAATGTGATTTATAGGGGGATCATGTAATATACTTTCCTGTACAAGTTTCTTTTCCCATGGAGACTGTCTCCACCTCTCCTGTGTTAGACCCTCTGTTTCCTGCATCTTGTGTTTTACTCTCTTGGTGCATACTCTCATTTTGTTGAAGCTCATCACCAGTAATTTCCCAGAGGGTGCCTAGGAGCTAAATTTGAAGACCATGCATGTTTGAAAATATCTCTAGTCTACCCTCACGCTTAATTGATATTTATGCTGGGTATAAATTAGGAATCATTTCCTAAATTCCCTTCCAGGATCACTGTCAAAGTCCAAAACCTTTGTTGTTCTTAATTCTTGGTATATGTTCTTTCTTTCTGAAGCTTACTAAGTCTTCTGTTTTTCCCCGGGTTCTGAAATTTCTGTGATGTGCCTTCACGGGAACCTGATGCCATTTATCATACTTGTTCTGGTTACCCAGTGCCGCTCTGACAGGAATATATACCACAAATGGAATGACCTTAACAAGCAGGGGTTTATTCTCTTACAGTTTGAGAGGCTAGAAATCCAAATTCAAAATGTCAGACTTTAGGGGCTGGGTGTAAGCCCCTCAACCTTGGGGTTCAGCTCTGCCTTCTGCTCCCAGCCCACTGAAGCTAGAAGCTTTTCTTCATTCAGACAGCTGCTGGCTGCTGAGACTGACAAGCCCAAGGTCGACAAGTAAAAAGGCACAGTCCTGATGTTACCAAACCACACAACAGGCCATTAATTCAAGTCCACTGAAAGTCCCAAGGTTAGCAGAGCATGGCAGGCTGATGAACAACGACTTGGCTACATGCAGGGTTTAAGTGTGCCATAAGGTAGAGACCATTCCCAAAGCTGCTTCCTATATACAGGGAGCATACCCAAAGCAGCTATTCAGCTGCTCCAAAAGATCCCACCATGGAGCTAATTACCAATCTCACTATGGGGAATAACTACATTCAGCTGCCCAGCCACTCAACCAGACCCAGCCAAGCTGACACACAAACTTAACCACCACATACTAAATACTCCATTACCTTTCAATTTAGAAATTCAGATTTTTCCATTTTGGGAAATTTTTTAAAATATTCTTTCTTTGATATCCACCTATTTGTTTCTGTTCTTTTTCTGGAACTTCTTATTCAGATATTGCACATCCTAGAATGGTCCTTTGATTTTCTTTATCTCCTATTTTTAATGTATTTGCCCTTTTAATCTGCTTTCTGGGAGAGTTTCTCAGCTTTAGTTCCAACCCTTCTATTGAGTTTTTTATTTCTGCTATTTGTATTTTTACTTTCCAGGAGTTCTTTTTGTTATTATTGTTCTCAAAGTGTTCCTTTATTTCATACCATCCTGTTCTTATTTAGGAATAAAACATCTTCTCATCCCTAACTATATAAATAGTAGTTTTTTTCATTTTTTTAATGTGTTTTATTGAAATATAATTTATGTACTGTGAAATACACAAAACTAAAGTAACATGGGTCAATGCATTTTTTTTTTTTTTTTTGCAGTGTTCCCTCCCCTCCCCTCCCACCCCTGGCAACCAACAAAGAAAGTTTCCCTCCATATATAAACCTTTCCTTGACCTGCCACAGCAATGAGCTAATGCTATATTTGTCCTTCTGTGATTGACTTACTTCACTCAGCATAATGTCCTCCAAGTTCATCCATATTATGGGGTGTTTTGCAGACTTTACATGATTCTTTAGTGTTGCGTAGCATTCTATTATGTGTATGTGCCATAGTTTGGTCATCCACTCTTCCACTATAAATCTTAGAGATAAGTCCTTTGCCAGATATGTAATTATCGGCAAATGTGAATTTTTTTTCTTTTATTTTATTGTGATTTGGGTGAAAATTTACAGAGCAAATACACTTTCCATACAGCAGTTCACGTATACTTTGTCTCATGACATTGACCACAGTTTACCACAATGCAACATCTCCCCTCCTACTTCCTCCTGATAGTTACCTCTTCCCTGTGCCCATCCCTCCATGCACTCCTGCCCCCTGAGCTGTCTCCCTGTGCATAAGGAGCCCTTCTTTCTCCCATGCTTGTTCTCTCCAAGGAGTGTATCTACCTTAGGTAAATGTTCAACTCATATGCCTGTCTGTTGTTTGGCTGGAAGCCACAAGCGTCGGTTCTATTCCAAACCTGAAGGGCAGGTAGGGGCCATAGTCTCAGTGGTTCGACCAGGCTCTATCAGACCAGCAAACCTGGTCCCCCCCCCCCTTTTTTTTCCAAATGATTTTGAGTTTTGTTCTACATTGTTCTCCCTCTTTATGCAGGATCTCCTACATAGATCCTCTTCCAAGTGATTGACAG